TTTATTGGTAATGTTATTCCAGTGCATTTCTCCTAATTCTTTCCTCTGTTTCTCTTGCAGAATTGAGAGTATGTTTCCTTGTGTATCAGATACCCCAGTGCTTGATGAAGCAAGGAAAATATGAATTAAACATTTTAAATACATATCGCTGACTCCATATCGCTGGACGTCCTGTATAAGCACTGAAAAGGAACAACAAAATAACACTAAAATTTTAGGCTGTTTTAAACAATCTGCCTCTAAAAGCATTGGATGTAGCATTGTGCAATTAGGTGTTTCCTTATTTGCTTCATTGTACTACCTGTGTATATAGTTTTTACCTTTTATGTAGCACATAAACTTTGGGGATGGGAGGGGAGGGTGGGGCTAAGGAATTGGCTTGGGGACATGAAGAGCTTGCCTCGATTTAGAGCAAGGGAGAAAAATATTTGACTTGCATAAAGATAAGCAATTTAGGGAAAGGGTTGGTTTTCTTTAAAGATGTAATGTCCCTTTCAGTGAACACTGATACTTCATTTTAAAAATCATTCCAATTTTAACACTGGCTACAAATAGTCCCTATTTATTTTTACAGGAAGATATTTTTCATTTGGGAGCTCTGATAATTCCATTATGTAACAGCAAGTGGCTTTTTTTTTTTTTTTTAAATAACAACAATAAACTGTCCTTCTCAATGCTCCCCTCTAGGCCCCCTTAAAATTGGAATTTACCAGTTAATTATTCAGCAGTTAGGTAATCACTCCAGATCATTCTGGGCAAAAATTTGGGCAAAAAAATGGGGGGAGTTCTGAATGCTCAGAATTGATCATCTAATTTTTATCAGATTTATTGAGAAAATCTCTGATTTTCTTTTCACTTTGGGCTATACAGTCTGTATAAGGATCTATAACTTCACATAAAAAATAATGAAATAATTTTAAATTTAAAGATTCTTAATTTGTTAATTTGCCCAAAGGAAAGTGGTGTTTTAAGAGGAAAATGTATAGAAAAAAAGTACGGTATAAGTGAAATGGATACTACATCTTTAAACAGTATTTTTACATTGCCTGTGTATTAAACAAAACCATTTGAAGTGTACCTGTGTACATAACTCTGTAAAGACACTGAAAAATTATACTAACTTATTTATGTTAAAAAGAGATTTTTTTTTTAATCTAGAAAATATACAAGCCAAAGTGGCATGTTCTGTGCATTTGTAAATGCTGTATTGGGTAGAATAGATTTTTCCCCCTTCTTCTTTAAATAATATGGCTGAGCTTAAAAGGTTGCATACTGAGCCAAGTATAATTTTTTGTAATGTGTGAAAAAGATCCCAATTATTGTTACATATCAAACAATCAATAAAGAAAACTTCCATAGCTATTATTAATTGAACTGTATGTAATGTGCTTTACTAAGCTTCAGATATTTAACCTGGCATTTTAGCCATATTTACACAAAAACATTGTGAAGTGGTAAATATCTAGATAATTCAGGTCCACAACTCAAGATGTTTCTGTGGGTCTGAATATAGTAGTCACTGTTTTCCACTTAGTTCTGTGTGGGTGGACAAAGCTTTAGAAGTATAAAGTGGAAAAGCCACATTTTCTTACAAATAAGGTTGTCATATCCATTAGTTAAATATTTATGTCTTCTAGGATATGAATGTGTCAGAACCAAAAATACATAAATGTACACTGATCACACATTTGCAGGATTGAAAATGAAAGTAACATTGGTGACTTTCTGAATTTTCTGTTTACACATGCAAAGTGTGAGGAATTGGAGCAACTGTGCAGATCATCTAATCTACACCTCTTGTGCAAAATATTCAGATAGATAGATAGGCTTTTTACAAATTGGTGTGTATTCCACACTAATTTAGATAAAACAGGTATTAAAATTAAACTGGTCATCACACAAAAATTCCTAAATTTCCGAATTTCCTGGTAATAATCACAACCAAAAACTGATTAAGCTAAACACAAAATCTAAGAGTTTTGGGTCCCCATATTCACATAGAGCGAGATGTTTTTTAGTTAAATAAGGGGGGGGGAATAAGATTTAAAAGATTTACTAAAATCCTGTAATTTTACATTCTTTTAAAAAACGTTAACATGTAAAAGCACTTTTTTTTTTCTAGGAACCTGAAAACGGTTAAATCGCAAAAATCTGAATTTGAGTTAAACTATTTCCCTCAAATTGTTGCACCCCAAAGGGGGCTCTAAAAAAGATATTTTCAGCTAATTTTGACCCGAAGTTGCGTCATTTTTTTTTTTTTTTTTTTTTTTTTTTTAAGTAGAGTTGACTGTAACTGCCGGGGAGGGAGAGGTAAAAAGTAGGTCCTTTGCTGACTGGGCTACATTTTCCAAGTAGGTTTTTATTTTAATTAAAGACTGAAAGGTGTTTTTGTGATTATATCAAAAGACGCATACAGAGTGTTTTTCAGGAAGACACTGAGAAAGCAAGAAAAACAAAACGGGGAGGAAGGGGTGGAGGGAGAGTCAGGAAATAATGACATAAAATTAAAGTTTCTCTGAGCAAAAAGGATACTTTAAAAAGTGTCTCTAACAGGGAAAAATTCTCTAAATTGTTGCATGTACCCCAGTTTTCTTTCTTAAATAGGCATCTTTAATATGAATTTTTAGAGACTGCGTTTTAGGAGTGCTGGGCCAGGAAGCAGTGGATGCTCGCCGCGCTAGGCACGTTCACAGGAACGCAGTCCCCAAAGTCACCGAGTCGATACATTATGCTTCTGTGTCAAGTCTCCAAATGCGTCCCTGCGATTCGGAGCGTCCGCTCCCTGGTCCAGGACTGCGTCGCCCGCTGCGAGCGTACCTCTTTGGGGACCCGGCCACCGGCGCCAGCCACGCCCTGCCCCGCTACCCTGGCCACTGCGCCGCGTCGCTTCTCCAAACTACCCCGCGGCCCCGCGGCCCCGCGCCCGCCCGCCGCAGCAGTTGCAGTGACGGGCTGCCTGGCGCTTGGGTACGAAAAGACCAAGTCTGCCTCCAGGTTTGCAACGTGCAGCTCCTGAGGTCCCGCACAGCCCGGGTGCCTGCGCGCAGTACCCGCGCCCGGGGCGCCCGCAGGCCCCGGAGGTCGGCTGCGCCTTCGCCAGCGCAGCAGAGCTGGGTGGTTTCTCAGAAACTTTGCTGCCTCATCATCTCTCCTCTGGGCTAAGAAAGAAGCGAAAGCCCCTCATTTCTCTCCACAAATAGACCCTCCTCATCAGTGCTCTGCCAACTCCAGGGCGGTGAGGGGACAGGAGCGAAAGGGAGAACCTTTCAGAATTCGTGGATCCTCCAAAGCAGCAGCCCGCTCCCACCCCTACCCCGGGCTCCAATGACCCGCAGCCCCGCGCATTTCGAAAGGCTTCCCGGCTTGCCGGCGGCAAGGAGGGCCGTAGTGGCGCGCAGGAGGGCCGAGCGCCACTGCCGCTCGCGGGGGTTGCTTCCTCCCTTCTACCAGCTTTGAGAAGTCCCCCTATCGCATCCCCAGCTGCCCAGCACGGGAGCTGGGCCAGGGAGGCACTAGGAAAATGTGGGTCCAGGGGTTAAGATTGGGGGACGGAGAGGACCCTGGAAATCAACAAAAAGGGAGCAAGGCGGGCGGCCTTTGTGGCCACCGTGCGCCCACCGGCCGGCCGCGCGGAGCGACCTTTCCCGGCAGCCGTGGAACGCTGCCTTCGCCATTTCATCATCTTTAGCGTCGACACTTGTTCATGAGCTTTTTTAGGCTGAAAAGGGTTTTAAAAGCTCGTCTAGGCTCTCCCGATCTGCTTCCCATAATATTAATTTTTAAAAATTTTACCATCTCTTTCACCTGAGCCACACCCTAAGCCCGCTCCCCTCCCTCCCGGGCAAATTGAAGGTAAAAATCCTGAAAGCGAAGACGGGATGGGGTAGGAGGAGGAGGACCCATGGTTGTGCTGGAGCCACCCGGGGAAGAGAACCTCGGGGATCTGGGCTCGCGTGGGGGTGGGGTGGGTGGGGTCAGCCTCAGACCCCGCAGAACCGAAAGTGTCGTGTTTACACGTCAACTCCTCTTTCTCTGTCTCCCCCACCCGCGTACCAAGCTTGTCTCGCGTGGGGACAGAGAAAGCAGGGATCGGAAAGTAAAAGAAATCTCTGCGTGTCGGGCGCGAAACGTCGAGGCGCCTCGAAAGAAACGTGAAGAAAAAGCAGGGGGGAGGCGCGCAGCCAGGCCCGAGCCCGGGGGATTGCATCACTGCAACTCCCCCGCCAGAAAATGGGCTCCAAACTGCGGCCACCATCATGGCGTTAGGGCTGGGCCGCGCTTCCCGCGCGCCTTCCCCGAGCGCTCGGGCCACGGGCACCAAGCCTCCAGCCAGCGTTTTGCAAACATTTCCTCTCCCGCGCGCGCGCGCGCGCCTGGCCCCCCCCAAACCCCTCCTTCCTTTTGTGTGCTTGTGTAAGTGTGTGCGTGCGCCCGTGTGACTGTGCGTGTGTGTGGACTGGAGAACTTGAAGATTGTTTTTTTCCTCTCGTTTTTTTCCCTCCCGTTCTGGTGGTTGTAAACTTGATTGGCATTGGCTGCGCCCACTGACCCCTGCGCTGAGTCCACTGAAGATTTAAGGTGGATCCAAGAGGCTGCAGCTACAGGCGGAGTCTCGCGGTTGATATGGTTTTGGAGGAAAAAAAAAAAACAGCCCCAAACCCGGCGCCCGCCGCGTTTTTTACAAATCCCCTGCGGTAACAGCCCCCGCGCGCCCCGCCCGCCGCGCGCTTCCTCCGCCCACCTCCCGCTTCTTCCCGATTGGCCGAAGAGTGTAGTTTGAATTTTTTTTTTTTTTGGATGCTTGTTTTCTTGCGAAAAATACGGTACCCCAGATCGTGTGACAAGACCCGCTTCGGCGGACCAAAGTGGGGTGTTTAGTGGTTTTGTGGAGGCTGGAGGGAAGAGGGTGGGCGGAGCTTCTGTTCCAAAATTTTACCCCCAAGTGCGTTTCACTGTGTGCAGGCGGGTGGGGAGTGTGGGGCCACGGTCAACAACCAGGGGACGCTTCGGCGAAGCCAGGGATGTAGTATAAACGTTAATGGATGTCCAGGGTGCGCCGTGTCGCCGGCCGCTGGCCAGAGGTACTAGGGAGGCACCGGCAGGAGCTCTGGCGAGGATGCACCTTCCCCTGCCTTGGAAAGGTAGAACTGGGGAAGGCGGGAGGGTGAAGGTGGCCCCGAGAAGACCACCTCACTACCAATAAAAGAAAGAAAGAAAGAAAGAAACAGAAGAAATGCAAATGCAGGGGGGAAAGTATTATTTCAGGAGCCACCCAGTCAGAATTCATCATAACTCAGGCAGTTGGTGTCATTTTTACTGAATTTTTGTGTGTATGTGTGAGGAAAAGATTCAAACAAAATTGAGAGAAGGAATGACCTTGAAAATTGTCTTTGATTACTTTGATAAAGTGCTTTAAGATTTAGGATAATGTTATTTATAATACAGGTCTAATACATATGATATCCTTCATTAGTTATAAACCAATTCTGTTTTACTTTATGGTGAAAATTTTTTAAGTTTATCGTTATTTTCCAAATCAATTTATCTCCAGATTAGTGAAGTTAGCATATAGATAGATAGATAGATACACATAATATATAGTTTTTATGTGTGTGGGGGGATGCTGTTTCTCTTGTTACAATGTAGCTGAGGATTTGAAACAGATGCCCAGCCTCTGCCTTTAACAGTTGCTATCCGAACCACCCCTCCCATTTTTTAGTTCTTTATTTCCCCAGTACTTCTAGCCCAACTAACTAACTCCTTAAGGTTAGCCCAACCCAACTAAGCTCCTCAAGCCACCATAAACTGACCTGCTTGTGCCCTTAGTAAGGAATTTTCTGAGTTAAGATTGTCCCCAAATAGACTGGCTAGTTTCAGGAAACACTGAGCTCATCATGCCTGAAAGTGTGAGTCAAGCACTGGTCTGGGTGATCCCTTGATAAGGACAGTGTAAAAAAGATTGAACTATCAAATGAATATTAGGACTTGTGATCTTTAAAGTCTATTCCAGGCCCTTGAGATGCTCTATTTCCAACCTTGGAGTCTCTGGATTTCTACTAAATTAAGCAATTTTCCTTGCTCATGACCGTTTCCTAGAGTTGTGCTGCCCAATGTAGAGTCCAAACCATATGTTATTATTGCACACTTGACTGTGGCTAGTCCAAACAGAGATGTGCTTTGTGAAATTATACCAGGTTTCCAAGAATTAGTATAAAAATATGTTAAATATCTTCATTAATAATTGTTATACTGATTAGATATTGCGATGATCATACTTTTGAAATATTAGTTTAAAAATATTAAATTTAATTTCATGTTTCTTTTTACCTTTTTTAGAATGGTTACTAGACTAACTTACAGATGTGACTTGTATTATATTTCTGTTGGACATTGCTATTCTAGGCCAACACCCATGGTGACTTGAAGATCCATCTTTGATATTGGTGGCTTATAATACGGAGTAGGTGGTAACTTCCAGCTGCCATTCTAACTTCCTAAGTTAAATCAAGGCCCAAACTCAGCCCCTAGAACCTTTAAAAATAACTCTGCTAACACCTAACACCTGTCTGATTAAGTCAGAGTTGATCACCTCTTTCCACATTTTGTAAACAGAGAGACTGGGAAGTCCAGTATGTTAGGATTGACTCTGGGAAAAAATTTAGACCCCAAACAAAACATACACAGGTAACTTTCACTACCACTCTTCAGCAGACAGGAAGGCAGTGGAGAGGTGGAACAGTGTTCTCATTCTGAGACTGTCTCTCTAACAGAAGACTTGAACACATCAAAAGGCATGTCATAGTCTTGGATAGGAATATTCAACGTGATAAAGATGATAGATAAATTTATACCTTTACATTAAATTCTGATTAGTTCTGATTATCCTATTTTGTTCCATTGTTCAATCAGTCTCAGCACTCAGGAGCAAATTAATTACTGAAAATTTAGAATATGTTTTAATTTCTGGTAACACTAACACTCCATACCCCAACTGGTCCCTTTTTCAGAATTTTTCTGGCTCCTTTTGCTTGCCTTTTTTCCTCATGTGAATTTAAAATGAATTTGTCCAGATGCAAATGTAATTCCTGTTGGCATTAAAAAAAATAACGTGAGATCTTTATCTTGCTTTTTTTTTTTTTTTGCATTCTTCATAAATGTTTGTTTATTGTAGAATTCTGGGATCTGGGGTCTTCTGGGGAAATGTGAATGTAAACAAAAGTTTTTTGTTTAGGGAGGTTTTGTCTCTAGCAGAATTGTGTAAGAATTAAGATAGTTTCAAAAACTTGGGCCTTAGGCAAACATGTGCTCTCCTGCTAGTTCTCTTCTGCAGGCCCTGGCAACAGAAAGCCACTAGAAGCCAGGACAACTGAGAATACAGAGTGAATAAAGCCAGCCTTTTGAAAATCCAGCTCCTCAGTCCATTTGGAGCTCTAAAATGCTTCCTATTTCTGAGTTGCCTGCTGGGACTGAAATGTCTTAGGATTACAACATAAGATGCTCTTCCACTATTGTACTTGACCAGGCTACTTTTCTCAAAGTGACATTAAGCTCTCAAAGTTTATGTTCTCTGGTTCCTATAGTAATAATAACACAGAAAACAAAACAAGGTGAAGCAGAAACTGCTGATTTTAACCTGATTCTTAGTGAAAAATGAGAATGGTTACTAAGCTATGGCTCTGAGTTCAGGGCTCCTTTTACCTTATCCCACAGAACAACACTTACATTACTTCCCCGATGTCCAAATGTTGTTCCGTCTTGGTTTTCCTCCTACCACGCTAATGCTCTTTTCTAGATTCACAGGTTGTCCTTCAACCATCCTCTTGGTTCAAGCAAATCCCCCAAGAGCCAATCTCTTTGCTGAAGCTAGCATACCTTCTCTTTGGTTTCAGCTGTCACTGAAAGTTGAATGACTTTAAATCTAAATCTATTAACTATGATTTCTCTTTTGATGTCTAGATCTAAGTTTCTAGCTCATATTTTACACCAGGATACATTCCTGAAGGATTTAAGCGTGAAGTATAAAAACAAAAACAAAGAAGAAGTCATAGATCTGTCAGAAGAAACGTCAGAGGATTTAAAAAAATATATAATCTCAGAGTGGGGAAGATCTAAGTATGACACAAAATATAGACTCCATAAAATAAAATATTGATAAGTTCAATGACATAAAGGGAAAAATGTTTTGCACGCAAAACCTGGCATAGCAGAATAAAAAGACAATGGCGCGGGGGTTATGTGAATATACTTAGTGCCCCTGAACTGTATAGTTAAAATGCTTAAAATAGTAAATTTTATGTTATGTGTAACTACAGTAGTAAATGAATAAATAAATAACCAACCACTGGAAACACTTTAAAGTTAACCCACATTCTCGCTGCAAGAATCTCACACGATGTCTTGGGTCCCATCCTCTGGGAGGCAGACACTGGTACAGTGGTTGGTCTTTAGGCTCTGGGATCAGCGTGCTTGGGTTTGAGTCCCAGTTGCCTATCTTAATGTCCATGAGACTTGTTGCAAGTTACTTCACCTTTTAAAGTTTCTGTTTCCTTGGCTACGTAAAGAGGATGTTATATAAGATTATTAAAACTATTCAGAGAGATAAGGTATGTGCAGTGCGTAGCATAGGACGTGGTGTACAGGGGTGGGCAAAACTAGGTTTACAGTGGTGGGTACATGAAACAGTCTCTTCTTTTATTACTTATTATTGTATTATTTATTTATTATAAGTGTAAGCCTACTTTTGTGTACCCCTGTATAATGAATAACCATTATATATTTGTAAACAATATAGCTAGCAGAGACAACCAGTTTGTATTTTGGATTCTCAAGTAACTGCAGTCAACACAATATTAACCTTGTACGTATGTTTTCTCATTTTTGAAATTTTTTTTTTTAATTTATTGATTTGAGAGAGAGGAAGAAAAACATTAATTTGTTGTCCCACTGATTGATGCTTTCACTTGTTGCTTCTTGTATGTGCCCTGGCCAGAGACTGAACTGGCAACCTTAGCATATTGGGACGATGCCCTAACCAACTGAACTACCTGGCCAGGACAGTTTTGTCATTTTTAAATACTGCTTTTAATTACCCTTAAGAAGAATAAATGATTTTTATTGGGCACTTAATGAACAGAATTAATGTATCGCAAAAAAATGGTCAAAATGGTAAATTTTATGACATTTTACTACAATTTTTTTAAAAAGCTTAAAAAAATAAGGCATTTGCTTGAGTTTATTTTCATCTCTAATTATCTCAGAAAGAGCCTGGTATAGATTTGTTTGTGGTACTAAATCAGTAAAGCTCACACCTGTACACAGACAATGGAAAATTAGGAAAAATGTTTGCAACCCATTTATCAAAAGACTAATTTCCCTGATAAATAGAGTGTCTACAAATCAGTGAGGAAAAGCAAACAAACCAATAGAAAAATAAGCAAGGGCTATGAACACAATTTTCAGAAAAGGAAATACAAAAGGCTTCTAAAATGTGAAACTATGTTCAGTTGTAGTTTAAGACCACTGGGATATAAATGATACACAGAATAAATAAATTTAAGGAAATAGAGTTACAATCAGGGCCACTCATGCAAAGGTGGCCATTACCCTTTCTTGATAGTTTAACCTTTACTTCCCTCCCTTCTATCCAAGGCTGAGTGACTTTTATACCCCCAGCTTCACTGGTGACTAGAGAAGCAAGGAGTTTGCATGTGTGGAAGCCATGGCCACCTCTCAAGTTCAGGGTAAAATCCCTCTCATCCAAACCGTTTAATCTTTGTCTTACTGGCATCACTTTACTTTGCTCTTAGAAATCTCCTGAATCAGCCTCTTAAAGCAAGCAATGGCCTTTCTCCACACATCTCGTCCATTCCTTTTTTTATATGCCTGAATATTGGCTGATACTATGATTCTCCAAAATCATCACGTTATTCTGGCTTTTCCTTCAAGGTCTCTAATCTCTTAAAAGCTTCAAGCAGAATTTATTCTATGATTAATATGAAATGTCAAATCAATAGAAGGAGAGTATATGATGGGGTAAATAGTGTTAGGTTAGAACTATTTATACATGATGCATCGTATATTCTATACTGTGGGATTACTCTTTGATTTAATAGTTCTTTTTCTACAAATTTACTTTTGGGAA